CTGAAAGAGTTAAGAGAAAAGTGATAAAGGGAACATGATGCAAAAAGCTCAAAGGATGAATAAGGCATGGAGAACCACCAAGATATCCCAATTAGGAATCTAGAAAGGATGCCGAGAATGGATAATCCAAAAAGATTTCAGAAGTAAGAAAAAACCATAGATCAAAAACTTTACATCTTCCAGAAAAATGAAAAGTAGCTGACAAATCTGGCTCTTAGAGAGAAATGGAAAACGGTACTAAATCTTTGTCAAATAACCATGTCAGAAATAGAGAAACATGTGGCACAGTGAGACAAGAGGGATTAAAACTATGTTTGAGAGACCACTGACAATAATTAAACCATTTCCAATGATAAACATCCAATGAAGAAAGCTGAATGGACTACATTAATAAATGTGCCACCCAAGAGGTCAACCCCTGACATTGTGCAATGGACTGCATAAATCCAGGCTTGAACTTGTAAAATGGTGATTGCTGAATGAAGAATATGTGATCAAGACTGATGTAAGAGGAAGAGGTCGACACTCCTCAAGATAATGAAGGAGTGGAAAACAAGGCTTGCCTGGCCAATATGGCACCACAAGAAGAACTCTACATGACGAGGAGGGAATCAGTGCAAGAAACTTGGATAACAGATGAATCGGAAGAAATGCATAAAGATGAAGACCAGTCCTATCCTGGCTGAGAGCATCTATACCCAAAGCTCAAGGGTTAGAGACAGGAGACTAGAAGGATGGGAGTTGGGCATTTCAGTGAGTGGCAAAAGCATTGATTTAAGGCTTCCCAAGACAAGAACAGATTCAACAAAAAACTTATGGAGGAAGCATCCACTCCAAATTCTGTTGGAACGCGATAACAGATCTGCCACTAAATTCATAACACCTGGAACATGACACGCAAGGAGAATAATGATGGTTGGCCCAAATGAGAAAATATAATGTCTGGAGTAGGTTCCCCCTTGCTTGAATATGTAGGAGACTGCAATGGAATTGAGTAAAGCATTACCACCTTCCCTCACAACAATTCAAGAGCTCAAGATACATCTTGTTGAACTGTTAAAATCTCTAAAAGATTGATGTGGAAAGAAGATTCCTCTTCTGTCCAGAGGCCTTTGAATTCCATCTCCCCTACACAAGCTCCCAACCTATAGAGATAAGCATCTACATAAAGACGTACCTCTGGATGTGGGGGCAGGAGATAGACACCAACTGCTGAGTTGTCTCTGTTCAACTATCAGCCAAGATCAAGCCAGCTGGAAGCTGATAGGAGTCACCAGAAAATCCAACTCATCCATGCAAATGTTCCATTGGTCTCATAATGACCACTGTAGGGAACACGTGGGCACAATCTAAAGGAATGTGAGATTCTAAGGATGCCTACATCCCCAAAAGAGATAGAACTGCACCTGCCAGTGGAGAAGGATATGACTGTATTAGAAGAATAGCCCATTCCATGGCCCAAAGATGTAGAGAAGATTGGGCCCAACTGAGGTGTGAATTGAAAAATACCCATAAATGGATGAGGTACTGTGTGGGAGTAAAAATTGACTTTGTTATGAGAAACCCAGCTCTTGCAGATTTGGATAGAAGAGCTCATGTGTGAAGCTCTGCCAAGTGTTGGGAAGGAGTGAGAAGAAGCCAGTCATACATATAATGGTGAGTGTGAATGCCCAATGAGAGAAGATGATGTGAAAAGGATCCGACAAAAAGGTATGGGGCAGATGCGAGGCAGAAAAGGAGAGCACAAAACTGATAAACCTGTCTTACGTACACAAAATGGAGATAATGATGCGTAGACTCCGTGATTGGAATATGAAGATAGGCATCGGCGACATCATATTTTGTTATCCATAGACCAAGTGCAAAGTGCCACCGGAGGGAAAGAAATGACTCCATGGTAAACTGAGGAGCCTGGAGGAAATGACTGAGATGAGAAAGGATAATGAGAGTTCACCAATCACCTGTATTCCTCGGTACGACAAACATATGGGAATATAACCCTCAAGAGAAGAGTTGACATGCTCTACAGCCTCTTTGTGCAGAAGATCCTAGATGGCATATGCTTGATGACTGGATGTAAAATGATCCTTGGGGAGGTGACAGACAATGGAAGAGGAGACGTGAAATGAAGGACCAATCCACAAGCAAGAACCTGAATGACCCACTGATAGGTGGCGAAGGTCTCCATACGCACACAAATCATCTGAAACGAGCCCCCACAGGACCAGACCCCTATAGGTTAGCCACCGATGCCATTGTCTGCGCTCCACACGAGCAGAGGATGCTCACTGATAAGATGGAATCTCCTTTGTGTTCCAACAGGATGTAGAGCCAATGCCAGAGGTCTGGAAACCTGAACAGGAGATGCAGGAAACCATCTAGTAGAAGACCGGGAAAGGTGAGAGGCCAGTGTCAAAAGAGAAGAGTGGAGATGGACCACATCCACCCAAGGTTCCATGGAATCTGGAATACCTGCAAAAATCGAATGTCTGAGAAAAGGAAGTTTTTCAAGATCTGTAAGCCTGAAGATGGAAGTCGAATCCCCTCAAGCAAGGCACCTCTCTCTCGAAAAGATCTCAGCATCAAACCAACCAAGAGACCAAGGACAGAGCGGAAGCTGACAACCGTACAAAAGTAGAAGGCAATAAATGACTAAGATTCTCTGAAAATTGAGCAGGAGATGTGCGATAGGCCTCAAAAAACAGTTGCAAAGCAGAGAAAAGATGCAAAACTGTTGTAATGGACAGACAAATCTGGGAAAACTGTGTAAGGTTAAGACATATAGTGACATCAGACCTTGAATCCCAAATAGGGAGAAGAGGATCTAGACTCTGAGAATCTAAAGATGTGTCTTCCAAGCGATGGAAAGCTAAGACAAACTGATCCAATAAATGGGGAAAATGTGGCATGGCAGCACCCTCTCTCAACAGATTAGCAATTCTCTGAGCATGAACAGCAATGTCTGGCAAAGGTGGAAAGACTACATAATCATCCAAATGACTTTTCCCCCAATAAAGGAGAAGAGTCATAAGTCACAGTAGAAATGCTCAATACATTAAAAACCTGATGTACAATGTGCAAAAATGGTCCAAATTATCCTAATCCCCCACATGCTCAGCCTCTGAGCTGACAAGAAGAAACATCTAACCTCATGTAAGATTCCATCTCTCAGCGTATGAGGGATTGGACATCCTCAGCAGAAAACAGGTCTCCCCCCAACACCCAGGAAATGCCAGACTACAAAGGTGGCAGATTAGTAGCACTAGGAGACTCTGTATTAGAAATGTGAATGTGAGAATTCATATCCAAAACATCTGACTTTTTTGTTGTTGTGGAAAATAAACAAACTCAAAACCAACTAACACGTGTTGAAAAAAAATCGTCCAAAGCATAGGTACAATTAAAGTTATACAACATGTAAGAGAAACCCATAGCAAGTATGTAAATCCATTCATCGTAACATTCTGCCATCAAGTAAAAGTGAATAGGAAGTAATAACAGGGAGCTTATGTACGAATGTGATATATGGAGTGCATTAACGTACGTGGAGAGAATCAGAAGATTTAAATTGGAGCAAGCAAGATTAGATTCATGTCAATGCTTAGATGGGCAGAGAAGAGAAACTTTCATAGGATAAAGCTAAAGTGTAAGAAGGGGTGTGTTTTGGAAATAAAAATTGTTGTTTATTTGTTCATTTATGTATTTGATTTTCCTTTGCTGTCCCTGTGTGAAATAACTATTTGTAGCTTCAGTTGGAGATGACTTCTAACAGCAACTGCCTTGATCACAGCACACAATCTAAAAAACTTAGAGAACTTTTAAGCAACACTGTCCAACTTGCTTTTTTACTTAATATACCAATGTATTTCATAACAATTTTTTAGCATCAACATATGTCTTGTTTTAAACATGTGAATGTTGACAGCCAAAGAGTACTTAGAAATTCAGTGAAGCACCTGACACAAAGCCATTTAACAAAACTTTTAATTCATGTGTTAGAAGCTTTAAAACAGAACAGTAATTGTACATGTTTCCAATAACAGAACTGCAAAAAAAAGCTTGAAAATATTGTAGTAATTAAGAGTGAACACTAACAAATTATTATCTAATTTAATGAAATGTTTCAAACTCATTGTGTTCTCAGAGATTAGGCCTTTTTCGCCCAGTATTGTATAGATACTTATAAAAGTAAAAAATGTCTTTATTTGTACGTCTGTGAACTAGGCTATTTCAACCAACCTTGGCAGCATGATGCACTTGGCCGAAGGGTATGTTATAGGATAGTTATTATTAACCAGCCACATCCACCATGGGTATTGCCCACCACAAAAATATGTTTGTTTAGCTAGTTTTTTTATTTTGAATTTTTTTCTTACATTTTTGGGGGAGTTTTTTATTTAAAATGTTAAACATTTACATTTTTGCCAGGAAAAATGACAACCAAAGCACAAGGTAAGACTCTTAAAGTGGCAAGACTAAAACTGAATACCCTTTGCTTTTCACATGGTCAATTCTATGTTGCATGTTCAAGAGCAGGATCTCCAAGAAATCTCTTTATTTTGGCCCAGGAAAGAGAAGGAACTTCTAATATTGGTCTATCAAGAAGTATCAACAAATACTGAGACTGCAGAGTGGGATTAGTAAAGGTAATAAAGTAAAGAAAATGTAACACCATTTCTGTAATGTGGAATAACACAGGTTTGAAATATAGTTGGTGTGAAATAAATTAGTTATAAAGTTCATTATGTGAAATAAATTATATATATATAAATACAAATTCTTGATTTAATTTATTAGTTTCAAAGCCTACATTCAATCCTTATGCCCCTGGACATAGAACAGGTGCCTTAGCTTGTACTATAAAACTTAAAAACAGAGCATCTTCTAAGACTTTTTAATCATAGGCCTTATAACTTTTGCAAAGGAAAAAGACTCCTTCAATTGAGGTGATCACATTAATAAAATGAGGATTTACATGAAAGAAGAACTACAGAACTTACCACAATACTTGAATCATTTACAGCAGTCAAGTCAACAATCTCTTCTTCATCACCTTCACATGTAAGATCAATGCATGATGGAAGATCTGTATAAAAATCAAAGTCTTAACAATGGTGAAGTGATTTCCACTTACAGTACAGTACTAAATTATCTGATAAAAATTTGATTAAATGTTATTTCATTAACTTTTTCAGCACAGGCTTGGTTCCTGGAACCGACCTCGTAACCATTTTGTGCTTGTTATAGTGTTCATGTTATAACTTTTAAATCAGTAAGCGACTGTTAACGAAATTTGGCAGATTATCATTAAACATTACAATGCTTTCATGTGCAAAATATCTAATTTTTTTATTAAGTTTTAAGGTTTAGAAAGCAATGTTTTCCTCATGTCTTTTTTTTGTCTTTTCGCATGTTGCCTATCTATCTATCGTGCAAAGTAATTTTCATTTTAAGATTAAAAATACTTTTATGCATCAGAAAATTTTGAAATTTCACATGCAAAATCTTTATAATGTCCAGATAGTTATCAAACATTTCTTTATATTTTATCTGTTATTTTCAGAAATTAATCTTTGTACAGGTTCAGTAGATTTGACCGATCTCACAATCAGCATAAAAAAAATTAGGAAATAAATATAAGTTATGCCTCTTTCATTCTAGAATGAACACAAATTATAACACAAAAGCATATATGTTTAGACTAAATAGCTTAAATCTCATAGCATTATACATTTATATATATCTATTATTTTTATTATATTGACCTTTTAGCCGTGCCTGGCTAACACTACAGAAGTTACAATGACAAGGCTCACATGCACTCATGTTACTGTATCAAATAACATAAAACTGACCTTTGGTCTGTGCAAAGTAACTTGTCTTGGCTGTGTTTTAGTAGATTAGCTATTTTGTAAAATAGAGTCGCATTTCAATTATTATACATTATATAGGTATATAGATTATTGCTATTTTGAAATAAGTTCTTAAATTTATTTTTCTTAAAACATAGAACAGTAACTAAAGAGGTAAAGCAAACATTTATCTCTTCTAGTTACGACCTTTGTACTTGGTTGCTGCCTGACATAATTTAAGCTTTTAGATATTTTGCACATGGATAATATGAAACGAAATAATTTTTTGGGGGTTTATATATATACATTTAAATAACTAAAAAATCATAAATTACTACATCAATACCATAGAATTCCACTATCATTTATCAAGATTAGTAACTAAGATGTATTTTAGTCTAAAAAATATTAAATTTCGAGCAGACTAAAGACGCACCCTACCTTGTTGAAATATTGGTTCAAAAGAAATGGCACCAAGTCCACTAAAATGGCTGAGAAAGCCATTAGGGGAACATTCTGAGCTTCAGATTGGTTACTTATGTCATATATAGAAGTAAGTGTATATATATAAGGGAGCATTTCCAAAAATGGAAAGAGATGGGTGGGGTGCCACTGAATTTGATTTATAAGCAATAAAACGATCTTATTTTATATTCTAGCTTGTCAATATTGGTAGTTTGAGTTTCTAATTCGTTCGAAACTATAGACTTAGTATTTTGACTTCACAAACATCTAATTAGAACTAGTGCTGCATTCAACATATCACATCACAGTTCAATAAAATTTTGAATGCGAGTCAACAAACAAGATGGCATTGCCTTTCACCTACGACCCATCTTGAAAGGGTTAACACACTAAAATATATATTTCAGAAATAAAACTGAATTACAATTGACAGATCTACCAGTACAATCCTTCTTTCTTCAATTCACATTGAGGATTAGACTGGTTTTCTTTCTTGAATATTAAGTTGGACCTTTCCTAGCATACACAAAAGGCAATCAATGATACGGGGTTTCCATTAAAAAGAAACTAATACTTTTAATATTTATATAAACCTACTTTCAATAAATAGACAAGTCTATACACAGAACATGCAAAATTCTAAATTCCAATTTCTGATTTCTAAATTGTATCTTAGGATTAATCATCACTCCAGGAAGGATCTAGCAGATTTATCAAGGTGGACTAGCTGACAGATAACTCTGTAATTAAGTGCAATAGTCTATAAAATGGTAAGAAACTGATAAAATATCAGGTATAACGAGTAAGTGGTGGAAAACTGATGCAAGTTATTAGATTTGCAGCACACTGATAAGTGTAAAAAACAATAAGAAACAGAAGTATAATAATGAATACTAACAATCAGTATTTGAGAAAACTTTAGAGTACTGTAGCTATATATTGAATATGTTTATATATTAGGTCATCATGAAATTAATGTCGCATTTTGGAACACTTCATTAACCACGCCCCAAAAAACGTACAT